CATTGGCTAACAACATGGCATTCATCACGGGGGCCCTGGATATGTCGCTCTCCTCTGGCCAGGCGCTCAGTGGAGACCTCCTATCACAGGCGAGGACCACCTCGGCGGCGATCCTGCGCATGTGCCAGGCGCTAGCCGTGGATGGTGGCCGCTCCATTTCTGCAGCCCAAGTCGGGGCCAGGCACCTTTGGCTTGGGCTGGCTAATATCAGGGAGGCGGAGAAAAGGCAGCTGCTGGACCTGCCCATCTCCCAGACGTCCCTCTTCGGCCCGGACATGCAGGCCCTGGTGGCGAGACTGGAGTCTGCAGCCAACGACTCGGCTAGGCTAGCCCCGCACCTACCACCGAGGCGCGAGGCCGGGGCAGAGGTAGAGAGCGTTCGCCCAGGAGGCGTCCTGACCCGTATCCGCGCTCTGTTGTCCATCGTCCCCCCTCGACGAGGCCCCGGGTCCAGACAGACCCACGGGTGGCTCGCGGGAGCAACGCACCCACCGCCGGCCTCCCTATGGTAGAGGAGGCCGGGGTGGCAAGAATTCTTTCAATAAAGGCCGACCGGCATTTCATCAGTACTCGTTGTCTGAGTCTTATTTGGGGGTACGTAACATGTCTAATGTGAAATCTGATTGTGTTACTTCCCGGGCCCATAACTTTGCTTCGCTAGGCCTGCAGCCCCCAGAGCAGGGTGTGCAGTACGAGCTACGAGCTCCGGTCCTCTGATCCATGCTATGCCCTCCCAGAGAGAGGTCAGGCGGAGGGATCTGGTGAGTAGTGGTGTGTGTGCTTCGGCCGAACGCGTGCTAGCCCCTCTGAGCTACAAGGCTAGCACGGGTTTTCCCACTCCAGGGGCTCGCCCCCCCCTCCATGAGGCAAGAGCCAGGGGGGGGCGGAGCAGTCGAGTCACATGGCTTGAGCAGGCCCGTACTTATGACGTCGGGCCTGCAGGACACGTGACCACCCCCGGCGCACACGGTATGACGCAGGGGGCCCCCCTGCCCTTTCGTCCACCCCCCCTCCCTGCTAGGAACACCAGGAGAGGGCGGGGCTGGGACGTCTCGTGTTCCAGCTCCCGTTCCGCCCCTCACAGACTTCTACAGCATCTGGAGGGAGCAGGGCTTACTGACGGATTCGTGGCTGGAGAAGACCACTGCATGAAAAGTGTGATTTTCGTCTCTTTTCGGCCCTGTATATTACTGTGAAACTTCTGGGATTCGGCTGTTGACGGTAGTTTGTTGTCCCCTCCTCCTTCCTCCATAGGAGGCTTTAACATGTAAATGGGAATGTTGTGAGCTATACAAATGCTAATCAGGGTTGAAGGGGAGCACAACTTTGCTCCATGCTGCACAACTACTTTCAGTCAATTTGCAGCATGGATCAGGTCAGCACACCGTAGACCCGGATTTTGCAAATGCTCAAACTGTTTACAAACACACACACACACACACCATGGATCTATTATAATAACGACACACACACACATCAGATAAATATTTGATCATGATTGATTATAGCTTGTCATGTCAAAATCAATTAAATAAATCCAATAGGACAAAAGACATGTTGAAAGTGTAAGTGCTCATCAAAGGATATGTACAGACCAAAAGTTTGGATTTTTTATTTTTTTCATGACTATGAACATTGTAGATTCACACTGAAGGCATCAAAACTGAATTATGTACATACCTAAAAGAAAAAGTATGAACCAACTGAAAATATGTGTTATATTCTTGGTTCAAAGTAGCACCATATATATATATATATATATATATATATATATATATATATATATATATATATAAATATGAGATTTCATAACACTTTTAAGCAACTTTTGTTAAAGTTAAACTCATCATTCTATCAATGTGCAGAAGCCTGTACTTTTCCCTTGTTTTGTCTATCTGAAGGCCAAGCTACATGGCACCGTGGCAGCTGCTGATTGGAGGTCTCCATGCCTCCGCTCTGAATAATACACTTGCATTCTGTTGTCCGTGTTGTTCGTGCTGTCTCTACCATCGACAATAAAACATGTCTTCTGTCTGAATTAAAGACGCGATCCCAGACTTGGCTCATCTTCTTCAGGTGGTGGAAGGATGCGGGCCTTGTCTGTAACATCTAGAGAACAGAGGACTACTTTTTTTTTAACACAAAAAGTGTTTTTTTTTCAAGCCAAAACTGAAAAACCTCAAGAGAATGCATCTTGATCAGCACATGGACAATCTGCACAGCCCCTGATTCCACTCAGGCTGTGAGCTGCTGAGACATGGACAAGACCATCGTCCTCTTTTGCATGGACACCATTTGGAAGAATTGGATTAAACAATTTGGACATAATTTGGAACAATTGGATTTCTGAATTTGGACACTAAAGCTGAAACGTGTGATTGAAAGACACGTCACAAAAGAGTTCATGGCTCGACACAAATGCAGCCTGAAGAAATCAACACGGAGAAGTGGGAGAGACTGTTTTCAAAGCAATATCTGGAACCACCATCGACTGATGAAGTTTGGTATTTTACTGAAGATTATTGACAAGTTTTATGAAAGATCTGACCATGTTTTATGAGTTTTCTGAGTTTTTAGAAGTACCGAGTTTAAGTATTGAGTTATGATGTTATGTTGCTGTTTATCGATCCTGATGGTCACACGTGAATGTGTGACCAGAGGGGGGAATGTGAGATTTCATAACACTTTTAAGCAACTTTTGTTAAAGTTAAACTCATCATTCTATCAATGTGCAGAAGCCTGTACTTTTCCCTTGTTTTGTCTATCTGAAGGCCAAGCTACATGGCACCGTGGCAGCTGCTGATTGGAGGTCTCCATGCCTCCGCTCTGTATAATACACTTGCATTCTGTTGTTAGTGTTGTTCGTGCTGTCTCTACCATCGACAATAAAACATGTGTCAGGGATGAAGCAGACAGAGACGGATCGTGGTGCGCCAAACTCTGGAAGTTTATTTAAGTTTCTCTCAAGTTCCAATGGTTTCCCTTGTTTCCTTCTCTCAGACAGAATAAAGGCAGTACACAGTTTATATAGTCATTGTCACGTCACACATCGAAAGACATACGTGTCACACAGAGAGAGTGCAAACCATAGAGTCCTGCACGTAGGCCATATTGCTATCTAATACTAACACCCTCCCCTTTGATCACATAATCACATGTGATCACTCAATTTGATCAATCAATAAAGTGGAAAAAGAAAAAAAAAAGAATCTAAAAAAACTTTAAAAAATTATTAAAAAACAAAGAAAATGTATGCATTACTCATAATCATCCAATGGAATTTATCCTCTATCCTGGGAAAAAAACAAAACAAAAATAAAGTAAATAAATAAACAAAAAACAACAAATGTAAACAAAAAACAAAAATAAAAACAAACAACCACTATTGGACACACAAGAACTCAGCAGATTCAGTCAAAACACAGACAAAAACGAGCTGAGTCTCAAATTAGAAGCTAATTTAACTTTTATTACTCTATACTTTTATTCTAATGCTAATTGTTTACACTTCACTTATTTCACTGTATTATTTTCACTTTTCAATCTTACACTGTGTACTTTACTTCTACTATTCACTATAGTTTAAAACTATTCTAATCTATTTACAAATATGTTTGCATATTTGCTTTGAGCCATATTCTTAAACATACATTTGAATCTAATAAATCTCTCTGTGGTTTACTTTCATTATCAGTGGCTTATTATCAGCGGGATTTTGCTCTATGTCTACTCTACATTCTCGGGAATAAAACTGAACACAGTAAGACAAATGGTTAATATGAACATTATTATGGCGGTCAGTTTTCCAAATACATTTGTTGAACCAGGAAGTGCTGTCACTTCCTCCTCTCAGGCAGTTTGGGATGGATGTACATCTCTAATCAAATTAGTATTATCCTTACAAGAGCTAATCTATTTTAGCAGGTTTGGGGTTGGGGTCAGTTATTCTACAATGGTGTTTGATTCTCTAATCTGTGCTGGCAAATAAACAGCTTTTAAACTTCTCAAAGATCTCAATATCTACTATTGTGTTTTTGGGCCATACACAAATACATCAAAATGCTTTTGAATCTCTCTTGGTTGTAATCTATCTCATTAATCTAGGCATTAATCTCGGCTACACTCATTAACTTTTTGCATTGTCAACATTCACAGATGTTTGAACACAAGTGAATTTGACAAGTATCTAATAAAACTGTACATAAAACTGTAAGTAACTTTATCTACTTTTGAAGTAAATGTTTGTGAAATGGTCCCTTTACCATTTGATATTAGCACTGGCTACAAATATTCTCTATTTTATGGTTGATGCATTTATCTATTTCTATTTTTACATTTTTTAACTCCAAAGCTTGGCTGCAGCTTGAGCAAAGGCATATTTCTAGTTTGTGACTTCTGTCACTTTTAATAGCTCTAACATAACTCTGATTCTAATATTTTATCTGCTCTATCAGAAGGATAACATTGTAGGGTACTATTTTAACTCTTACGTGAAAATGTGTTTATGAACAACAAAGAAAGGACAATTCTATTCTATTTTTTACTACTATTTAACATCTACTAAAACGCTACAATACTCTTGTACACTTTATCATTTTCAAAGTTTTTGTCTGTCAGATGTCTGAATACTTAACATGTATATTGCATTTGTCACAGTTGTGGTTCTGGTTGTAGCAAAAGCATCGGCAATAGACGTTTTTCATTGGCTGGTTCTTGTTCTGCAAATGGCTGTGTCCAATAGATCATCAGATGTCCAGAAGCTAAGGACAAACAAAAACAAAAGAAAGAATCATGAGTATCTGTCTCATTTAGCACTCATCAATGTATGATTTCAAAAATATAAACATCACTCCCCAGGTTTTTCTCTCTCAGATCCTCAGGTCCTCAGGGTCCCCTGAGGGTGAGTCTCAGTCGTCATCAGGTCAGGTCATATTTCGAGAGATGTCATCTTGGACATCAGTAGGGTCCAAGCCATGGTTTGGTCTCCAGATTCATTCTGGTCACTCCAGGCACCAGGCTTAGTGATAAAACCAAGCAGAAATTGCAGCAGTTTGAGCAGCTACTGGTGTCGATTTCTTGATATTTTTTAAATCCTTCAGTCTCACATGAGGTCCTGACCAGAGAAGCTCCTGCACCATCGGTCAGCTGAATATAAGTGCTGAAAACAGATTCAAAACATTTATATGTGAATCTCCATCCATCTATTTTCTTCCCCTTAATCCATTTCTGAGATGTGGGGGTGGCCATCAGAGCGGCACCCAATTCATTGAGCACCAGCCCTTCACTGATCCTCCTGTAGGTGGTGAGATCTTTCAGCAGGGGCATCAGGCAAAGTGTTAAGGGTTAAGTGTCTTGCCCAAGGACACATTGGCAGCAGACATCAGTGGGAGTCAGTGGAGAAGGTCTACACAGTGGGCTCAAACAATGCTCTACCAACTGAGCCGCTGTCGCCCCCACAATTTATAAAACTATTTAAAAATCCCATAATGAGACAAAAACACACGTGAATATTAAAACCTACTTGTTATACGTGGCCTTTACATAAACTATAGGCAAATCTTCAAACTTGTTCCCACCCCATCTCAGTGGACTGTCCTGCCCCGGCAGTGGAGGAACGTTGCTGTAACAAAAACAAAGTCATTTAGTATTTCATGGCTCTATTATTTTAAGTTATATAGGTGCAAAAAATACACCAACCTGAAATCCATAGAATTCTCTGCAGTTTTAGTGCTGGATTCTGTAGCGACCCCTTGCATCCGGACAACACTGCTGCATAATGTTCGCTGAACTACACTTTGAACCCATCTTATAAAGTGAAAAAAGATTAATTAAACACAGACATGAAAGTCAGAGGAAATGCAAAATAAACAGAGCAGGATATGGTTTGGTGATGGTCATGGACGCCCCCGTTGGCCTGTATAGAACTGGACAGCTGGACACACACTGGACTTGTAGACTTGAGCACTCGTAGTAAATTGAGCATTTTGTGTCTGTAAATATTCTTTAAATACATTACTTTATGTGAATTATACTTGAAAGCATAACACGACGGACTGCTTTATTATTACACAAACAGGGGGGAGGTCGCACATGTTTCAAACGCTAAAATAACTAGATATATGAATGTTTTCTATATATTTGAATGTGAAATTCCATATTAAAAATTATTGTGATACAACAGAAAACAGAATTTGGCATGTAAGTTAAAAACTGTATGTTTCGACCATACTTTCCGGCCCCTTGATAACAGAATGGATTGATCCGTGAGCAGAAAGGACTCGTGGGTAATGTTGCATTCAGGAGCGTCGTTATTTTGCGATTTAAAATGTTCTGTAAACAGTTGAACGTCGCTATTAATATGTATACATACTTCTGTTGTTCACAATCACTTCTAACCAATACTATTTCTCGCTGACACTACCATAGATCTTATCAAAGCTCTATGATTACTTTAGGACGTTATTATGAAACACCATCAGCTGTCACGCAAGTTTAGCTCAGAGAGAGAAAAGTCTGAGCAGTGAGTTTATAAGTGTTTTTAGTATTTTTTATTATTTTCAGACTTTTCTTGTTTTGATAAAATAAGTTTGTGTTGCTATATTTTAAGAAAACATCAAAAATGTTTAAGAAATAAGTACATAAAACTTAAATAAATGTTTTTTAAACTAGAATCAAGTTATTTTGAGCTAGTATTATTTCATTATTCTCAGAAATCTTCAGTCATATTTTTCTTCTTCCATTGTTTAAACATTGAAAGGAACTTGCCTATATTTGTGCATCGTTTGGTCCTTACGTTAATATAATGGATCCATGGTTTTATTTAGCATTTGGCTAGGCTAACTGCTATTTGCCTCAACCAACTATGCACTTCTTTGAAAACTCTGATAAGTTCTACGTCATGGTGCTACGTCCCTTAGGACTTCGCTAGTGCGATATCACGTGACCCCCAGCTCACACGCCAGAGAGATCAAAATAATTTGCTCCAATCACCAGCGACCCTCCTCTATAAAGGCCCCTGCACCCCCTCTTTCACTCTGGCGCCGATTGAGATCTACCACAGTACTCGCTTCATTCTGAGAGATGTCTTCTGTTCGTCCGAGTTCCCCTTCGCCCTCCGGCGTCGGACGTCGTCGTTGCTCGACTTGTCACTTCCGGTCTCGGCAATTTTTCCGCGAATGTCTTTTTGCATGATTATTATTGATAGAAACTGCTAAGGGTGAAACTATCGGTCAAAATGAGTTTTATTTAACACAAAAAAATACCACAATATACGAACAAAATAAGATTAGGTCCCTTTTAAAGCATGCCCGGTGTTTTGATTGTTTAAATAAAGCTTTTCAAACTTCAGTGCCAGGCTCCGGCCAATGACGTCACTCAGTAGAACGTGTGTGTTGTCACCATCTGTTGTCATGGCTACACAGTTAAGTCCCCGGAATGATCATCCGTATATTCAAGTAGGGACCTATAGAGTCGCTCTCTGTGCGTGGTGTGGATGGGAGGCATTTAGCAGGGACGATAGAGTCGCTCTCTGTGCGTGGTGTGGGTGGGAGGCATTTAGCAGGCTACTTTAGCAGCGGAGAATATGAACAGAATAAACAATAGTTTTGATCCGTGAGCAGAAAGGACTCGTGGGTAATGTTGCGTCCAAAAGAGTCGTTATTTTGCGATTTAAAATGTTCCGTTAACTGTTGAACGTCACTATCAATATGTTTACACTCGTCAGTTGTTCACAATAACTTCTGAAAGTAGTGTATGTTTGATGATAATATTGAAAGGACACTAGCATAGATCTTATCAAAGCTCTATGGATACTACAGGACGTTACTATGAAACACCATCAGCTGTCACGCAAGTTTACCTCAGTCCGTGAACACACCAGGAAAATGGTTGCGCCCTCTGCAAGAACCCAGTTTTTACAAACCTTTTCTTCCCTCACCACCAGCAGGAATGTTGGTTTCAGACAGTTTGGAGCCAGTAGTGTTTGTCGGATGAGTCTGAAGCCCAGGCCAGAGTCTCAAAATACGTAAAGTGATGTAAACATGTCAACTTTTTCATGTAAGAAAGAGCCATGTGTGTCACCATTTGACACTTTAGTCCTCTTTTGTCACTTTTCTGTCTGATAAAGCTGATCTAAAGATGTGTTGGACTAAAAGAAAAACCACGTGGAAACTAGTGATAAAACCAAACTTATTATTTTTACTTTTTAATACAGTTTGGTTTTGGCGGGTTTAAAAGTGAAGTACCCCAGCTTTAATATAAGGTAGTAATAGTACGGAAAGAAAATGGCTGATTTTCATTTCATTTCATTTTCATTTCATAGTTTTGAACAGTGTCTGAGTGTCTGGCTTCTGAATGTCCATTTCCAAGAAGCCAAGTCGCAAACAGCTTGAAAACATGCAGCTACGGTTATTGCAAAAACCCATAACCTTTGGGACGCGCGTTACTTCAGAGCGCACTCAGACGTCTCCACACGTGCCAGACCGTGCCAAACGACTGTACTATTTCCCCATCTCCACGTGGCAAACAGCTGGATCCAAACCAACAGTGACTTTTCCTCAAAAAAAGAAAAAAAAAGTGTGGACTCCATCCTTCTGGGAGGAGCGAGCGTCTGAGGCTGGTCCCCCCGCAGACCACCACCACAGCACGGACCAGGGGGACCAGAGCACACTGCGGGGACACATGGATGGACCCCAGCCCGCTGCTGCGCTGTCTCCGACGGATCTTAGAGGTTTGGGAGAGTTTGGGAGCGTTTGTGAATGAAACTGGGATGTTACTGTGGAAAAGTTGAGGAAAGACGCGCGCAGACCGTTCGCGGCTCCGGATCAAGTGGAAGAACCGTCTTTCACCTCCAACTGTTTTAACCACAGGTAACTTTCCCTCGCTGCTTGTTTAATTACTTTGCATTTTTTCTAAATACTTGCTCGTGGTTGTTTTTATGGATTGTTCAACTCGACCACACTCCATTCTCTTTTAGCCCAAAACACTTGTGTAAGACATGAGGAGGTACTTAAAGCTGGGGTACGCAAGTTTCCATGGTTTCTAGACGTTTTACATACTTTTACAAAACAGCTCTGTTGGGACAAACATGTATTACAGTTTACAAGGAAAAGAGTTACATACCCCAGCTTTAATCTTATATTATTCGTGTATATTTTGATATTCTACTTTTCATGATACATTGGTTATTATTGACATTCTTACAACTCTAGTAAGAATGTGAATTTCCATATAATTTTGTTCAGATAAAGCTGAATATTCAAACTATTTTTCCTAATTATTTTATACCACAATGTTGACATATCCTGTTTAGTTGTTTAGAACCAGGCCTCCCAGTGTATACATGTGGCCGTATGAAGCCATTGTATAAATATTAGACAAATACCTACTATCCTGAAGGCATTTGTGCATATTATGTGATCGTATTACATTTTTAAACATTGGACGACTATTATTCGATTCCAGAGTTCGATTCCGCCTCCAGACATGGCTTTCTGAGCAGAGTTTGCATGTTCTCCCCATGTTTGCGTTGGATTCTCTTACACCACAAAACACATGCACAACAGTCCCCCTCTCTCTGGGGCCAGGAGTCCTCTGAAAAAAGAGATTCTGAAAAGTCCTGGTCACATAAAAGGTCAGAGAATAAAGAAAATAGATTAAAAACATGTTGTACCTTTTGCCAAAATAGTGCATGTGTAAATAAGTGTTTAATTAATTCCATATTATTGGTTAAATCCAAATTGCGGCTGTAAAATTCACCATATAACGTGACTAGTTCATGCACATTACTCTATCTCTTCCATGCATCGTGTTGCGTGACTTAATTTACGCAACTTGTCTGCCAATGTTTTCCCCAATACTTTCCTCTGAATGCTTTTTTTTTGTTTGTGTTTCCGCAGTGTCAAAACGCCAGTCAGCATCATGTCGTTATGGATGATGCTTCCTCTCAGTCTTCCTGTGTTCATGATCACGGGAATCTGGGTCGTGTAAGTCTCACATCTATCCAAAAAAACGCACACACACCTCACGTTTTCTCCCATCCAACACATCCCAACACACACCAACTCGCACATGTGTATATACGTGTCTATACCAGGCCGTACCAACTCCCCTGCGCATCACATTAACCACTTTTTCCTTATTTGGAGGGAGATATGCGGAGGAGTGTCCGCTTTAGATTCAAGATCGCTGGTCTCATGCTTACAGTGTAGTCCCCTCGACATCCTCCTCTTGTGACAGTAAGTATATTGGCGGCCTTTGTGGTGGAAATGAGGCTTTAGCAGTTGTAGTAGTGGTGGTGGTGGCAGCTCCAAGTGTCATTTAACATCTGTCGCAGCAGCGGTAGAAACCAGGGGGGGTGGTCAAACCTGCTCTCAGATGTAACGAGATGCTTTCTTTGCTGGATTGGAACTATAGAGAGACTGTTTCCCCCCCTCGGGCGTCTCGAAGGTGCACTGCCTGTAATGACTGTTTGCACGTTTTTACAGGGAAATGCAGTCACCATTAAGTGGCTTGTTAAACTTTAGCCTTATCTGGTCTTAAAGTTTGCCTCTGGGTCTTGTCAATTCTCCTGGCAAGACTACATTTATTTAAGTTGAGTGTCAAGTAACGGCAACTGATCTCGCTGTATTTTTAAAACATAAAAGGGTGCAAACTAGTTATATTATTACATCTAAGGCTCATGTATTGAACTCCCTGCAGCATTTTATCATTTTTAATTGTAATGTTTGCCTCCACTGTATCTTCAGCACATTGATTAATTGTGGTAGTTTTTAAATGCGCTATACAGATACATTTGACTTGAATAATGCCACTACTCTTGTTGTTATTAGTACTGTACTCACTACAAAGGCATGTCTTTTTTAACATTGTCCACATTGAGTCATGAATAAGTATACATTGAAATCAAAGATAGGACTAAGGATAATTTAAATACTTATTTCTTATATGAAGATTGTCACACGTTCAACTGTTTTAATAAAGCTTTTTCAATATAGATAGATTCATGGTTTATTGATACGTTTGTAAGTTCGTTTATTTTTGTAATTCTACTAAATATGTGAAAGCGATATTTGTAAGTGACATAAGCCTTTGTTTGTTCTAATGTCGATGATTGTGGCTTTTTAATCGGGGTTTACTGCTGTGAGACAATTATCAACATTAGAACAAATCAAGGCTCGATTTATCTCACTTCACAGTAATGAGTCTGATACATTTTAGCTTCATGTTGTTTTTTGAATTACAGAAGTAAAGGGACTTTTCAACAATATTCTATTTTTTTAGCTTCACCTCTACGTTGAACAAATCATGTAAAAGCCAAATAGCCAACAACAGGTCCTAAAAATATACAGTATAAACACAAAATGAACCTAGACATGGGCTCACGTTCTACTAATATTTACATTATAGTGCATTCCTTTACAACGGGCATGTCCAAACTCAGGCCCGGGGGCCAATAACTGCCCTCAGTGTCATTTTATGTGGCCCTCTGACTCGCTAACCCAAATTAGTCTTTGAGATCCTAAACACATGTTCACTGTGTCATCCATCCAACTTCAGCTCATCCACTTTAGACTTGTTGTGCCTCGTAGAGCCTGGAGCATCTGGAATTCAGTTGTTGACGTTTTTTGTACATACTGCTCTGACATGGTTTTGATTGTGTCACAAACTTCCGTTATGATGCTAATGCAGCTGGTGAGATGGTAAACAAGTGTCATTCAGCCAACTTGATCGTGATGTCGGCCCTGGACTAGTCTGGTGAACTAAAGTGGCCCTCTTACTAAAATGTTTGGACACCCCTGCTTTACAAGATGCACATTCTTAGTTCTTATGCATTATACACTCTACTCCAAATCCGGCTCAGGACACTGAGATGATTATCAATTATCATTATCTTGCAGCATTGATGGGATACTATGGCATGTTATACTTCTTCTTTTTAAAGGCAAGTCAAGTTTATTTGTATAGCACAATTCATACACAAGGCAACTCAAAGTGCTGAACAAAACAAGAAAGCATTAAAATCATAAATAATCAAAGAGCATTAAAAAGAAAGATAAAAAGATAAAATCCCTCAGTTGTATGCACAACTAAACAGAACTGTTTTTAACCTGGTTTTAAACATTGTCAGAGAGGAGGCCTGTCTCACATCTTCAGGAAGATTGTTCCAGATTTTAGCAACATGAATCTGAAAAGCAGCCTCCCCATGTTTAGTTCTGACTCTGGGCACTAACAGGAGTCCAGTCCCTGTGCTCCTCAGAGTCCGGGCTGGTTCATATGGTACTAACATGTCACTAATATATTTTGGAGCGAGGCCATGGAGAGACTTGTAACAAGCAGAGCTGTTTTAAAGTCTATTCTCTGAGCCACAGGAAGCCAGTGCCAGTAAAGCTTATAGTCTTAGCAAAACAACCATATCATTGAATCTGTTCTAAAATTCTAACTAAAATGTAATTAGAAGTTAGTTTTTTCTAAATTTTGGACGATGAATCTTTAAATTATTAATCATGTTTTATATTTGATCCAGTTGTGATTGAATCCAAAAATACTAGAAAATAACATCCAAACCAAATGTCGAATAAAATGAGTTTGTCAAAATACAAAAATATGTTTAAAAAAAACCCAAAAACCCCAAAAAAGAAATAAAGGAAGAAAAGAATGTACAACCCTTTTTGGCCCCAACCAGCTCTTATATTTTTAAACTTGGCAACTCTGCCCTATTTCAGTCCAAGTTCGAGTCTGAGTCTTGGCACTAAACGATCCGGAAACGTGTCTAAAAATACGTGTCACACCTACACACCATGTAGACTGGTCTGTAGACTGGTCTGTAGACTGGTCTGTAGACTGGTCTGTAGACTGGTCTGTAGACTGGTCTGTAGACTGGTCGGTCTGTAGACTGGTCGGTCTGTAGACTGGTCGGTCTGTAGACTGGTCTGTAGACTGGTCTGTAGACTGGTCTGTAGACTGGTCTGTAGACTGGTCTGTAGACCGGTCTGTAGACTGGTCTGTAGACTGGTCTGTAGACTGGTCTGTAGACCGATCTGTAGACCGGTCTGTAGACTGGTCTGTAGACTGGTCTGTAGACTGGTCTGTAGACTGGTCTGTAGACCGATCTGTAGACCGGTCTGTAGACTGGTCTGTAGACTGGTCTGTAGACTGGTCTGTAGACTGGTCTGTAGACTGGTCTGTAGACTGGTCTGTAGACTGGTCTGTAGACTGGTCTGTAGCCTTTCCCTGAGTCCAGTCCTTCTCCCACTGTAAAACAGAAGCTGGCATTTCTCACACCAGGTTTCTACAGCGCTTTCTGAAGAGCGCTCTGTAATCCGCTGCTGTCACCGCCGTGTTTATCCAACAGGTTAAAAACGCCTCAGTGTTACATCTGAGCGTCTGACCTACAGACACAGCAATCTGGACCACAGCTTCACACCGAAAAAGCCAGAGAATCAACATTTGTCTTTTGAAATAGCCAGATTCTGATCGCAGTGGACTCGAACATACTCACATAGATAGGACTGCATGATTTGACAGAATGTGTAATTGCTATATTTCTCACCGATATTCCGACATTTAATATTGTATCTGTTTAAAAAGCCTCATTTTGTTCAGAATCAAAATAAATAACGTATTATTTTCCCACAGATTTTATTTTAGAGTTTTAACCTGTTTTGTCATAGTAGATATAAAAGATGTACTAGTCCTTGTTACATTTATATAATCGCTTAAAATAAGTCGTATTTTATCTTTCCTCACAACATTCTTACTTTAAATGCAGCTTTGGTTATTGTTTAATTTAAGTTTTAAGCTCTATCTATTCCTTCTGCCGTCACCGCAGGTTAAAATACACCACGGCCTGTGTGTGCGTGTGTGTGCATGCATAACTAATATTTTGAAAGTATTATTGTTTTGACCTACTGCCGTACAGTAAGTTTATCACCATGTTTTATCTCAAAATCAGAATTATTGTTTTTGCCATCAAGGAATTTTCTTTCACTCATGGTGCAAACAAGTTATACAAGTAGAAATACGTATAAGGCATGCATACAAATGTCTTCATTTGTATGCATGCCTTCAAATAGGTAGATTCTGTCTTCATCAATGTAGACAGAATCTACCTATTTAAAGAAATCAAAACTATCTATTCCTATTGACTCAGTGTTGTTTGAGCTCTTTGGCACAAGCATTTCCTTTGGTATGAATCCAGTTAAATACAATCCAAATTTATAGCAGAGTTTCTTGTTTTAATGTGAATGTTACTTTGTCTTACAGATATGCCATGGCCCTTTATAACCAGCATGTCTGTCCTGTCAATAACTGGTAAGTGACCTCTGCTATACACACACACACACACACACACACACACACACACACACACACACACACACACATTTAGGCCCTGTCTCAACACCCACTCTGCCTCCTACACGCCTCTACGAAGTGTACATTTGTTTGAAGTGCACAGGTTTGAGTGGCAGGTTACAAGCAAAAAAGGCGAAATTGGGACAGTGCAGGTTACATCATCAACTAGTCAAGAGATGGTCATTTTCAGACCTAAACTTTATCAAATTAAAGTTCATTTTGTCTGACCCTGTGGGAAACAAAAGTAGTAATGAGTTGCTCCACACACGTTAAAATACATGTACTCTATATTGGTAATTTGAGATGGCTGTATAAGTTAAATGTGGGTAAATAACTGTTATCTGGTCAGTTTTTATACATCCTAAGTTTATTGTACTATGTGTAAAGTTTAAATTGAATGTTATTTGAATGGTTTCTTTAAAAAAAGTTATGAAATTGTTACCATAGAATGTCCATAAATACATTTATGCTGCTTACCAAGTAACATAGCAAAACTTATATACACACATACAGCATAAGTATTTCAAAACTTAGACTTATATGCATTTTCCCGACGTTTTGGTGTGTACCGCAAAGAATTATGGGCAATATCCTTCTCCATTGTCCGCTTAGAAGCAGGCTATGGCAAAGTTTGTGGATCAGAGGCGCAAAGGGGGCGGGGCCAAAGACCTCCCTAGAAAATTGGGACGCCCTACGCACTCGCACCCATCATCGAGAACGCGCAAATGCGAGTATTGGGGCAGGCCCTTTGAGTCGACTTTATTCACTCATTCATTCATAGGAAACTGCTTCTCAGTCTCCTTAACTCCTTTACTTCCTGTTCTTATGTCAAATGTTTTCTGGGAGCGGACTTAGGAAAAATAAAGTCCTGCCAAAGTTAATGTGAGGAACTGCTGGCCTAAAACACGGGTTGGAAACTGTTGCGTGGAAATGTTTAATAGTGTATTTTAGGCTCTCGTATACAGACGCTGCTTTGTATGTGAAAAATGAATATTATTTTAAACAGAGTAATGCCTCCATTTTGAAGAAGACGAGCTTATGTAACCGGTGTGCCTCATGACCTCAGTAAACTTGCATATGTTGTATTCTGGGTAATTTGTAACACTGGCACTGGGGCGGCACTAGCTAATTATCTGTTAAGCTTCGCATTTCTGAAACATAATCAGCTGCAATTGACTTTGGCGCAATCACCAGAACGTTCAATCAGCCTTTTATACATTTATACATTTTTTACAGCCCTCGACATCATACAAAGTGATCAACAGCGGCATTCTGGAAAACAAGCTTAAAAAATTAGGGGTGTACAAAAAACAGATCTTTAGATGGAGTAGATTTCTAAAAAATTTATACAATATTGACTTTTTACCTAATCCCCCCATTTTTTCAGATTAATAAATAAATAAATAGATACAAAAAAATACATTATATTTATATGTTTTGATATTATGACTGGAATAACCTAATATTTGTAAGTAAAATATAAATGCGTTTTATGTGGTTACTTTGTGGCTGAGCATTTGGACAAAACTCCTTTATTTACTGAACTTTGTTGTTTAGAAATAGATCGAATGTCGAACTGAATGTCTTCTGTATCGAGATTGTATCGTATTGGCAGGTTCTCAAACGTTTACAAAGCCCTGTTGTACATGTACAAAAACCAATCAATTTAATCAAACCAAAAAACTATATTCTACTCACATTTTAACCACAAAAAACAGTTGAAAGGAGCAGTATTTAAAAATTCTGGCCTAAAGTGGTACTGCAGCCTCTCCCACTCTCCCTGACTCAGGTTGCCAGATATGCAGATGAATCCAGCTGGGACCATAACAGCTGAATAGACAAAAGTTTTGTCAACAACAAATCTATAACCAACACCTTTTTCACAAAGATAGAAATCCTGGTTTTATTCCTTGTTTTGTAGTTAAGTATTTGAGAATCATGGTACTTTACCAGTGCGATTAGCTCCACGCGGTGAGTTCTGGCGCCCTGATCACAGACTTTCTTATTGGTGAAACGGTGGAGGGCAGGACATCAAAATGAAAACAATAACAAGATTTAGGGGCTGGAAAAGTAATTTTGAAATCCAAATATCTCTGAACTACTGTTATCAGTTAAAGAAGTATTGGAAAAGAACATGTTTTATCAATGTCAATGAGTTAACATGAAAATCTTGCACATTGCTACTTTAACTATGATGATATTAGTGTGATCTTGTTGATGGTGGAGTCAAGTTTAAGTGCCGTCAGTAGAAAAGTCCCGACGCCTCTGAACTGAAGTTGCCACAGTGTCATAAACGACTCAAAATGTGAAAAATGCATTAAAATGTGTGTTTTCAGGGTTTATAATGAGTCGTGTGAGGAGGAGCTCCACCTGCAGAGAAGCCCCGTCCTCTGCTGCACGCTGGAGAACGTCCCTCTCATAAGGTCAGTTCTCTTTCACTCTGAACCCAACTGAAGGACTTCATATTTACTCTTTTTACAGAACTGTGGCTATTTATGTTTTAATCCCATGTGTGATTTTAATGTTTTAATTCTTTTTTTTAATATTTCTTCTGTTCTTAATGTTTGTTTTGGATGCCCTGTGGGACTTTAGTAGTAAATTTTTATGTTCATGTAGATATTAATGTTTATGTAGATTTGAATGTTTATGATTTATGCTTGGGTCGTGAGGCCTGTAGGAAAGGCGCTCTACAAAAGTTGATTGATGGATGGATAGGGACATAAGTCATGCATTATCTTGGTATTTCAAGTTAACTATAACAACAAATGCGATTGTTTTTTCCCACATCCATCCCAGTCGTTAGGTTTTTAGTGCACAATGTAGGTTATGCCAATGTATTGTATCAGATTGTACTTTTGAAAGGCAGCAGTGTAAGTTGGTGCAGTTTGGAAGTTCTAGTCCTTGTATATAAATGAACACTTTCCTTCAGCTTCCTAGAGCCACAGTCATCACCGTCATTACACAACCTTTTTAAACATGGCACCTGCTGTTCCCAGAGGTCTCCCATCACCGTACTAACTAGACAATACCCTGATTAGCTTCTGAGTTCTGACAGGATCTGGCTTTCACCTGCAAGTGTTTAAAATGTTAATTCAGTTTTTATATTTTTACTGCTACTACTATATGTTTAATTTGCTGCTACAGAGTTAGAAACTATTTACATGCAATCAATTCTTTGTCCAAGTGTCGGAGGCAGATCAAAGATGGTTTTCTCTTTAAATATATGTAACAAAGATAACACTGGGTAACAAAAAAATATGTTTTGAAAATAGTCCAGGGTTTTCCAGCTGAATTAGACTCATTTTGATGCTCTGAGTCCGAAAATGACCTTGGTTTTGCTCAATCAAGTCAGGATTTTTTGCTACAGAAATATTTTTTTAAATTGATTTTGCGTAAAAAACAAATTTCTGCGGATCATCAGCTGAGAAACCCTTGACGTTTTTTCCGTTTTCCTCAAGAAATAAAAGTCAACGTATCCAAAGTCATTCAGTTTTTATTTACTCCATCAAATTTGATAAGCAGAATTCATAATAACGTAGACGTACATAATCCGTAACACTATGGCTGTATCTCCAAAAGTTGACCTGATAGAGCAACATGCATGTGATATTCGGACTCAGAACACCAACATTAGTCTAAATCAGTTGAGAAACCCCTGACCATTTTTTGGCTGTCAACTTGTGTTATTATTATCTGATGAGAAATTGAGAAATGAGCACAATTCCTGAAGATCTGAATCGACGCCAATTAAAAAAAATGACCGGTCGGTTCTTTCAGTAGTTCTACCAGAGCCGTCCAGATTCCGATCGTAAAGTTGTCTTAATCATAACGTACGTAACGTATTTCTATCCAGACACAGTCAAACCTGTGTCAGTCGCAGGTGATGCCCTCCTCCTCAGGGACAGGCCTGCACTTGCCTGACTTCAGCTCAGAGTTGGGGGGATGGGACCCTCACCTCCACGGGGGGAAAATCACTTTAGTGTTTTGTGTGGGATCCTCACGGCACAGACCACCAAAGTTCAAACAAACCAGGAAACACGAGTGCACCGCCAAAATGACTGCTCACCTGCAGAGAAGACACAACTGGTGCTTCACACAGAGAAAATCATGACTGAAATAGTTTTGTTGTCGGGGTTTTCAATCACAGACTGTGGGTCCAGACGTAGATTTAAGGCTTTCCCACTTTCCTTGTTTAATTTCAGTTTCGTCTCAGTTTTATTCTAATGTTAATGCATCCTGAGAGCAGAAACAAGGATATATACTCAATTGTTCAGGCTTTAAGAGTGGCGTCACCAGATAAACCTTGTTTTTGTATTTAAGGACAATACAAATCCAGACAGACAAACAACAGAAATATAAGGCTTGTCTTTGCAGTGTTCAGTAAAGTTATTTTTCCTGCTCTCAAGGATTCCTCTTTTGTTTTTATCCCAGACTCTTTCTGAAGACTTCACGCTGTTCGTGTCTTCGAATAACTTTCCGACTGCGAATTAAAAGTGGCGCTCTGTCATTATTTCCACATTCTCCCCGGCAACACTGCAATCGGCTGTTTTTATTGGTTCTGGAGCGGTCACATTATACGCACCAGACGATTATTGAAACCTCAAACAATTTATAGATTTACAAACTTCCCCAAACGTAAATGACATGTTGAAGATATTGTGTGACTGTAGACGGAGGCACTTGTACCAGCGGACTCGTTACCATGGAGACGTTAATGTCTTACTTGTGATTGAGTTTGGAATGAAACTTATACAGTATTTAAATGTGGTGCTGTCTGCATGTGAAGGCCTGATCCTGGCCGCTCTCAAAGGCCTGATTAGAGAGATATATAGATGGATAGATACTTTATTGATCCCCGTCGGAGAAATTCAGATGTCCAGTAGCAGCAAAACTAAACAACAAAATTGATCATTCAAAAAAGATAACAATAGTAATAATCAGCAACAGCCCTTCAGGTCACAGCAGCAGAGGTGGAGTAGCCTCTGGGTGGAGCAGGACGGGTCACAGCAGCAGAGGTGGAGTAGTCTCTGGGTGGAGCAGGACTGGTCACAGCAGCAGAGGTGGAGTAGTCTCTGGGTGGAGCAGGACGGGTCACAGCAGCAGAGGTGGAGTAGCCTCTGGGTGGAGCAGGACGGGTCACAGCAGCAGAGGTGGAGTAGTCTCTGGGTGGAGCAGGACTGGTCACAGCAGCAGAGGTGGAGTAGTCTCTGGGTGGAGCAGGACTGGTCACAGCAGCAGAGGTGGAGTAGTCTCTGGGTGGAGCAGGACTGGTCACAGCAGCAGAGGTGGAGTAGTCTCTGGGTGGAGCAGGACGGGTCACAGCAGCAGAGGTGGAGTAACCTCTGGGTGGAGCAGGACGGGTCACAGCAGCAGAGGTGGAGTAACCTCTGGGTGGAGCAGGACGGGTCACAGTAGCAGAGGTGGAGTAACCTCTGGGTGGAGCAGGACGGGTCAAAAGGTGGAGTAGCCGCTGGGTTCGGACCATTGTCTCTGCTCTAGTCCAAAGTAAAATGCTGAATGGTTCATTAGCAGTTTTCAAAAAGTTAGCATTCCTCCAGTGGATTTTCATCTGATCCACTTGGTTCGGACCATGAATCCTCTCTGCTCTGGTCTGGACCAGTGTAAAACCATGAACACTGTACTGCAGCAACATCTCAGTTGGAAAAAAGCAAGAAAAATAAAATGTATAAAGCACAAAACAACAACTGTTTCAGAGCGACTTAGGACCTGCTGCCGTCAACAAGAGTCAGGACTAAATATGGGGAGACAGCCATTCATGTTTATACAGCTGAAACAGTCTTCCTGAAAATGTGAGACAGGCTTCTGCTGTGACTGACAATGTTCAAATACAGGTTTAAAAAAAAACAACTATTTTTAAAGTACTGTGAATATTTATGCTTCTAATGCCCTGTATGATTGTTTTGTTGAGCAATTTCAGTTGTGTATGAACTGTGCCATACAATTAACTTGCCTTGGGAGACCTCCGGGAACAGCAGGTGCCACAGTGAGGCGGCTGTAAAGTGCCAAACTGTTGTCGTGTCCTTAGGCAAGACACTTCGCCCACATTGCCTAGTATGAGTAAAGTTGTGTTAATGATTGTGAAGCGGCTGAGAGTGGCAGTCTTACTTCCGTTATTCAACCCCAGGGCAGGTCTTTGAATGTCCTGAAAAGCGCTGAATAAAAACCCATGAATGGATTCTGTGTTGTGCTTAAAAACCTGAGCCCTAAGTGCGTTTTCCAGAAGGTAAAAAGTGCCGTTTTTGTTTCAGTAAAAGTGGGACAATGCCACCTGAGAGCTGCTTCTTCAGCCTCATCTGCAGCACTGGCGCCTTTATGGGTGAGTAAATGTGTGTGTGTGTGTGTGTGTGTGTGTGTGTGTGTGTGTGTGGAACAGTTCACAGACAGATAATAAGCATAATACTGGGTAAGTAATGGTAAGTTTTGACAATAGTTTCTACCATCATCGTACAAAACTACTGGAAACTAAAATTGTTTAAAGCACATTCTAGTGTCTGCTATAAACTAAAAGGTCTATTATTGTGAGCTTCTGCAGTTTCAAGCTTTCACTGTGGTTTAGCTGAATAATGGGAGATTGCAAACAGACTGCAGTTCAGCCTCGAGATCAAAATCAACTTACTTTTTACCATCTGACCCCAAATTTATTCTGCTCTTGGTTCAAAGCGACTCCGTGAACCTTTAGTGTATGTTGTTTCAGCTGCAGTAGCTCCTGCCAAGTCTCCCCAAACCCACTGGTCCATGTACCCGCTCGAACGGGACACGAACTAAAGACTAATCCTCAATGTTTAATCAGATCCAACGATGAACTTTTTGCAAAACTGTGTCAACATGAAGTGAGGAAAGGTCTTTGAGCAGGTCCAATGTTCACCAGGTGAATGCGTTTTACTTTTAGTGAAGCATTTTAGATCTACTCAACTGTGAATACTGTAAATGGTATTGACAAAGGACCCCAGTCCATTTGTTCACGGCAAAAAGAAATTGCTCAAGTTTGGCCAGAATATATGTTAATTTGAGTAGATTCCGACTGAGCCTAAAACAAGATTCTCCAATGGGACAAAGCAAAATGATATTGTTTTAGAAATATTCAAGAAATGTCATACTTGGAATGAGAAAATGAAGCACCAGTTCTTGAAATCAGACTAAATGGCTTTGTCCCATTGGAGAATCTTGTTTTACGACAGTCAGAATGTGCTCAAATTAAGATAAAAAACACTTTATTCAAACAATTATTATATATTGTATCATTTGGCACTTATGTTCATGAGTAAAAATCAACTGTAGATGTTTTAATTATGTTTCTCAGTGAAAGAATATTGGCCTTTGACAATGTGTGATTATAGTGAAATAACTAAGTGTGCTGTGATCGACAGCTGCACAATCCAAGACATGTATGTTTGACATTCTGTGATAATTCTAACATGAAAAGGAGAGAAAGAGAAAACATTAAACACAGAGATTTAAATAGAACTACGGTGCTTAAAACGTCACCGAAACTTTTCTCATTCATTCTGGTGCCAAATGTTGTCATCTCTGTCTGTTGCAATGTTCCTCTAATACTAAGAATCCTAAGTCCAGATGCTGTAATGTATTTACTCATTCCTGAATCAAAAGCCACACTGCCCTGACCTTTCTCTGGTCCCACCCGCTCCTGGTCATTCTAAAACACCATTAACCTGTCTGTATTTTCAGATTCAGATTCAGACTCAGATCAGATTCATTTTTTATTTGCCAGTTGCAGTAAAAACCACATTACAATACATTTGCAAAAGTCCCCAGTGTGCACGAGACAAGTACGGAAACGAAACAGATTAAAAGTACAGATTTAAAGCAAAAATTCAACAAGACATTATATTAAAATATCTATATCTTGGATTTCACGGTGCATTCAGACAGGTTTGTGTCCAGAGCAAACTACAGTGATGTGCGGACTTTGCAGTGACTTTTAAAAGGCCATAAGTCTCTGTAGAACACGTATGTACAAATGACACTGGCTGAAATTCAATGCAGAAGTTTCCAGAGCCAAAATTTGTGGCAAAAACAATAACCGAGCAAATTAAATGAAAGAAAAAAGGTGATTACTTGTTTGGTCGACTTAATTATTATGCATGTTTTTTGCACAAAGGCCAAAGATTGAGCTATTGACACCATGTGGATAAAGAAATTGAAAAATGCTGCTATTTAATCCTGATGGTAGGACTATTATTTCTGTCGTGTAATATGTTCAGGTGAAACCATTCGCTTCTGTAGATACAATGTGGAACTAATACAGGACAGATTCAGTACATTCAAAGTGAGATATTTTTTGTTAAAATGGTGATAATTGGCTCACAGCTGTAAGAAAAAAAACCCAAATAGTAAAATCTTAGAAAATTATCATATTCTGTTATTAAGTAAGTAATATATATAGCGCATTTTACAGACCAATGTCACCCAAAGCGCTTCACAATGTTCAGAAATCAGATATTTGTCCATTCACTCAACACAAGCCTCCAACCAACACCATCCATTCAATCACTCATTACATCAATACCTTTTTAGTGGTAGGGGAAACCGGAGCACCTGGAGGAAACCTATGCAGGCACTGGGAGAACATGTAAACTCCACTCAAAGGCCTGGTTCCGATCAAGATTCGAACCCAGGACCTTCTATTTTGTAGTATGTACAATAGTATGAGCCATTATCTAATGAAAACACACAGAGGCTTGGCATGTGTCACTTTGCATGTAATTGCTATTGTTATGAGTCTGAAAGAATCTATTCATTTCACTTTTGAAGTTAGTTTACAGAAATAAATGAACTTTTGAACAATATTCTATTTCCCCGAATTTTCACCTGGAAGTAAAGTGCAAAAAAACCCTGCTTCCTCAAACCAGTGACTTTAGACTTAGATAAACTTTATTGATCCACAGGGAAATTGCGTTGTCACAGAAGCTTGCTTAGTATTCCACAATAAAATCAAGTAACAATCTGAAAATAAGAATAATACTAAGATAATATTGTGAGATTATTGTGACTTTATGATGTTCGGAAAGGCTTATCCAGCTCCAGTTTCCCATGTCCGAATCCACCCTGAGAAACAATAGTGTTTTTAAGTCCTCTGTGCTCCTCTGACCGTTTGACCAGAATACAAGATCTCTGACTGAGAGTAAAACAAAAGACGTTAAGTTTGGTTATTGATTCTTATGAAAGTTATTAAAAGCGCGCCCGCTGAGCTCACTGTGGGACTATGAAGAGAAAACATGTGCTTTTTGATGAGGAGCAGATGTGACAGTGGGCCGCTGAGTCAACACGCGATCTGCAGCCTCATTACTCTGAACCATTGATCTCTGCACACGCCGTCGTCCGCGCCGTAATCTGCTCCGTGTATTTGTTTAAAGGATTAGCCGTGTTTAGCTCTTTGCCTCAAGACAACATGATCAGTGTCTGCGCTGTCATCGTTCTACACAGATCCTTAATGTTCCACTGCAAAAGAATCTCACTCTGAAGGAGGGACAGAACAGGTCATTTCAAATACAACATGTTACTGACCATGGCAATTAAAAAAGAATTTGGATTTGTATTCTGAATGGAGTGAGTCTCCTTTGAAAATATTGTTTTTAAGATAAGTCAAGATGTACTTTGGATTCACATTTTTATCAGTTTTGCAACGTTGGGGTCGAGGTTCATTTGAATCAACTGTTCAAATGATCTAAAACTAGCTATTTCAAGTGGATTTGTTTCTATTGCAGCTGCTGTGGTGTCTGTCGGTGGATGCCTCTAATTAGGATTCATTAAGGATTTATGAGTAGATTTAGGATTTTTCACTTTAGATTGATGTCAAATAAACTTGGTGCTCCTTAATTCACTCAATATTATAGATAATTGTGCAGAGCAGTTTTGAGCTAATCATAGTATTAATCAGCCACAGGCCTTCAGGTCACAGCAGCAGAGGTGGAGTGGTCTCTGGGTGGAGCAGGACGGGTCACAGCAGCAGAGGTGGAGAAATATTTCCATACTCTAGTGTTAGATCTAGATACCTGTCTACACCACAGTGAGGATTTATAATATGATCTTTAATTGGACAAAACTAACAGAACAAAATATCAATTCTGGTTTGGTTAGTTCTGAATCTCACCATCAAAATGCAAAACTGCTTTTAGTATCTATTAAAGGCACAGTTTGTAATATTCTCTCTTAGTGGTCTAATAAAGGCATTTACGATCACACTTTTGTTGCCTGAGCACAGATTACTGATGCAATCCACCTGCTGGAGTTTAGATACAATCTGCACAAACCTTTCACTTTGACCATGTTATACTTGTTTTCATCTACACACTGTTACAAACTGCTGTTTCTATAGATGTTTGTGCACATTTGAGCCATTTAAATAAAGAGATCCTTCATTCGTCCCACAGTGTTGCAGTGAAATCACAAGTTACAGAACAGATAAATGAACAATAGCTATACTAATTAAATTAAAATAAAATCTCTAACTAGCATCAAAGAAATATGTATCAAATCTCTCTCTTGAACATCATAAAGAAGTATAAAATCTCTAAAGTCAGAAGCAAGTTTCAAGCATTGGGTTAACGTTCTCTTCCACTCATACACATCAGATTAATAATTACCTGATGCGAACCCTCTCCTCTGCTGCAGTGCTGCTGATCGGCCTGCTGCGCTACGCCCACGTCATCGAGAAACACCAGAACTGCCTCCTGAACACAGCGGGACTCTCCACCAGTTGGATCTGTGCCGCTGGTCTCCTCATGGTGGGAAACTTCCAGGTATAGTCTCTTCAAACAAAACCTCCCCTCTGCTTCAAACGTGACGCTCTGTTAATTTTGTTGCATCATTTCTTACATAAATCTAAGTTTCAAAGACGAACCTTGCTCCAGTCTCAGTCTCTGGGTATTGTGAAGTGTTTGGGTATAAAGTTTTTGATCTTGCAAATAGGATTCAGTCACATCGTCTGGTTTGGATTTAGTTCCACCTTTTAGTGTCTTTTAAGTTCTAAATGATCTTTATTGGACTATCTATTCTCATGCATGTGCATTTACAAGGGCACAGCACCTGGAGGTCGCTGGTAAATGCACTTCTAATGGATTCTACCGTCACCACTGTATGTTCCATTGTATGTCCTCCTATTAGCATCATGTAAATATTATTCAAATACTTGGGCTGCTTTGTCGTTCTGTGAAGTGTCAGAGAAATGGCAATAACAGAAAGTCAAGCTGCTGTGAACTCATAAAAGTGTTTTAATACATGTGTTCTATTTGAATAAGCAGTTGGATTAAATCAGAACACAGTTTCCTGTTGGTCTAAAATCAAGTTCAGGTGAACATGTTGGTGCCATGTGAACAAAGTCAGACTCTGAGGAGCACAGGGTAAAGGTGCACTTTATTAATCCCCGTAGGGCAATTCATCCTCTGCATTTGACCCATCCTGATGCCACTAAGGCTTACGTCAAGAGCAGTGGTCGGCGTAGTAACAGCGCCCGGGAACCCATCTCCAGATGTTGATGCTCGGCTTGGTCAGGACTACCGGAGCTGGAGGATTTAACCTAGCATGTTTTTAGTGGTAGGGGAAACCGGAGTACCCGAGGGAAACCTACACAGGCATGGGGAGAACATGCAAACTCCACTCAGAAAAACCTTGTTCCGAACCCAGGACCTTCTTTCTGAGAGGCGAGAGTGCTATCTACTCAGCCACCATGCCACCAACAGGGACTGGCCTCCTGCTGGTGCCTCCTCCAGTCAGAAATAAACATGGAGAGGCGGCATTTCAGATTCATGCAGCTAAAATCTGGAACGGCCTTCCTGAAAATGTGAGACAGGCTTTTTCTGACAATGTTCATATCTGGGTTAAAAACTGTTTAGCTTTGCAGACAACAAAGGGGTTTCTTCAACTCTCTTTTTAATGTACTGTGATTATTTATGTATTGTTTCTATCTCGCACTTTGTGTTTCCTTGTGTATGAACCGTGCTATACTTATAAACTAGCCTTGCCTTGAACACACACATTCATATTCAAGCCGTTTTTATCTTTTTGAGTCCTGTATCCAATGATTATGTCCGGTGGCTGTGTGCACGTGTGAGGCAGTGTGGGCTGTAGTTCCTGGGGCCCAGAGCATTCGTCTCCTCCTGTTGCCTGTGGCTCGTCGGTGCACATCTGGGGCCCTTTCCCGTCTGCAGAACCCTTTCATTTCCTCCGCTCGTTCTCTACACTTTCAGGGGCTCGTGGTTAAGGGCCGATCCTCTTCTGCCTTCCCTTTGGCTGATGTTAAGCCCCGCCCACTCTACATTCAATCTTACATAATGAGCCTCAGTGTTTCCCCTTTAAGTAAACATGGCATACGTCCTGGAAAAGGCTGAAGTCCTCTGTAAACTTTGGACAAACCTAAATAGCAGAACCACAGAGCGCAAATGGAAAAGACCGAAAGAAGTTTACGTCCCCAATGTAAAGTGTTGATGTTTGAACTTTGATAAAAAAAACAACTGATGCAAAACAAAACTGAATTTTCCACAAATATGCTCCAGTGTCTATGAGTCGTATGGATATGTCTATGGGGGGATTCTTTGGCTTTGTCCATTTGGCAAATCTTGTTTTAAGGCTCAGAATGTGCTCTAATTAAGATACAATTAGCCAAATTTGAGCAATTTTTTGCCGTGTAGTAAACAACAGTAGGTCTGCTCCCATGATGCACTGAGATAAAAAAAAAAGTGATCTGGGAGTTTTTCTTAGAACTGAGTGATTACGTTAAAACAAGTTGTGGATTGTGTGATCTGTTTCTCCAGAGCCTTTGGACTTTGTTCCAGTGAGACATACAGTACTAACCATCTTGACTTTATTAGCTTGTTCAGACTTACACGTGGACTCTATAGTTTCTTTCTGTTGGACCAAAACAGGCGCACTGTCTGTAGCAGTCTCTGTGTGTAAAGGATAATTATAACGTTTACTCACCCAGGAGGAAATGACATTGTTTTGACCATAGGCAGTCAATGCAAGACACCCCAGGAATTTACAAGAATGCCAAAATATAACAGTCAGCTTTGTTTTTCAGGAAAAATAATCATCTCATCCAGAATTTCCACAATAGACTCATAGATGTTAAAGGGTAAATTGGGGAGAGAAACTTCTAATCTGTGTCATTTAAGTAGTTTCTGTTGTAATTATGTTTATTTTATTTATTTATTTATAAAAAAAACACATTTATCTGACAATAAATGGCTTTACACAACCACTGGCAACAAGTGGAAAAGTTATTTATCACAAGTTCAGTGCATATTGAGCAACAGTATGCCACGAATAAGATGCCAGAGTTGACCGAGAGACAGATTTTCACCTCCAAGTTCTTTGAGGATATATTTTCATGTATTTGTTTATGCCAAAAAAATATCATTTCCAACGTTACAAATGATAAGCAGCTTAATTTACTGCTACATTACCGTCTTCTCTTTGTGTCATTGAACAGGTGGACTATGCCAAAGTGCTGCATTATGTTGGTGCTGGCGTGGCGTTCCCCTGCAGCATGCTGTTCGTGTGTCTCCAGTCCGCTCTGACGTATCGACTCGCTAAAACACAAGGAGAGTACCGGACGGGACACTTGCGAGCCGCCATGACCATGCTGGCGCTGGTCGCTCTGGTGCTTAGTATCCTTTTCATGACTCTCGTACAGAAACTTAGAATGGAAATCTAATGCATCGGATTAGTGGCATTTGAAAGTCTTATGGACCTTTATCATGGTGTAAAATTAGCTACAATGGGTTTATGATGATGACTAGAGCTAGACAAAGACCTGATTACAATGATAGTTTTTTATCTGTCCACTGGAAAAGCTGTAGGTGCAAAAGTACAGTATACTCATATGCATGTTCCAGAAATAAATCCTAAACCTAGACATTCATAATGGTTCTTTATGTAACTTCAAATAAAAAGTTGTTTTTAATGTTACTACCAGGACATATCAAAAGAACCCATCTTTTTAATGTAATGCTGTAACTTCTGTAACTCAGAATGTGTCTCAAAATAATTTTAAACTACTCTCTGATGTTCTCAGGTTGCCACTGTAGTGTATGTCAGAGTATATCATGTCGCCCCCTGGTGGACACAAACTGCTGTTGTCCTTGACCAGTTCTCTTCAGGTGGAGTTTTCTTTTGCCAGGAGAGCTTCGTCCTCCAACACGCCTCGGCCATATTCGAATGGGTCTACTGCATTCTCCTCATGCTGTTCTACGGGACTTTTGCCTTTGAGTTTTCGGACATTACCGGGGACACGCTCATGGTTTTATCTAAAGGAGCCAAAGAGCAGAACTTTGACATTTCGGACCACAAGACTGAGGTGCGAGGAGTTAACCACCACCAGCCTGAGACCCTAGCCATGCTGTAAGGCTTTGTCTTTGCGCCAAAGATCATTTTAAAGTCCCAATTACTGCTTGGGAACTGCATTGAACTGTCCTGGACCACTCAGCATAGTAAAGTGGGCAGAAAGGTTGCAGGCCACAGTGGAGTTGCATTCCAAGGCTAAATTTAACCAGTTTATGCCAGAAAAACAAGAGAATATTTGAGTCTATTAGTGGCAAGAACTGCGGCAGAGTGTGTGTAAAATGGCATTGGACATTTGATCCTATGTAAGTAAGTAAGTAAGTAAGTTTTTATTTATATACCGCCTTTTCACTGCAGATCTGAGTCTCAAAGCGGTTTACAATTGTTAATTTTGGGCATTTGTCTCTCACTCCACACAGAGATGGGAGTGGGGCCAGTACAGGAGGCGCATGCCAGAACTATTGGACACATTTTTAGTGGTAGGGGAAACCGGAGTACCCGGAGGAAACCTACGCAGACACGGGGAGAACATGCAAACTCCACTCAGAAAGGCCCTGGTCCGACCGGGATTCGAACCCAGGACCTTCTTGCTGAGAGGCGAGAGTGCTATCCACTCAGCCACCGTGCCGCTATGTGAGGTGAACTGGTGTGGCTGGCTCATGCAGAACAGAAAGAAGAGAGAAAATTGCCACACAACACACAGGGCTTGGCTGTGGGACTGTTGGATTGGTCGTTTGGGAGGAGTCTTGATGACGGCAAATACTGAACAGACCAGAATCTTATAAGTCCAGATGCAGACGTGCAGGAGATGCTCTTGGAGACATATGTAAAAGAGAACGTTATGTGAACAAAACCAAAGCTGCCGGACCGGTTTGTGTTACCAAATGTGCCTCAGAAGAATCATATGTACCTTTTTGAATGTGCGGATGGTCAATAGAAAAAAAACTCAGGGAGTTTCATGGTGATTTTTTTACCTCAAATGTGCTGTGATGTTAAAGACGACAACAGTATCAATAGTATAAATGTATTCTACTTTAACCAAAGGGAACAAAAAGGCTCTGTCAAAATGCTCTGTGTTTTATGCTGTCCAATATGAACGTTTTACAGTTTTATAGTTCATACCGTCTGCCTTTATGGGAACACGTTTTGTATAATATAAAAGGGATGTACTCTGTTTGTTCTGGTTATTTACAGATTCTATATTTCCACAAAGTAATAATAATGTATGCAATAATCAAATATATATTAAAAGAAAATCTTAATAAAATGTTTTATTGATCAAAAGTTATATTTACATAATGCCTCATGTATTGTGTCTAGTAAACTACATTTCATTTAGGCTTCATAAATTGAAATATTATAAAGAAATCATCAAAAAACATCAACAAACTTTGTAAGCAAAACTCTTATGTCAAAACATTAAGACTTCCGTGAGTACGCTCAGCTGTTGACTATTTATGAGGCAATCAGTGGCCACATTATTAAATACACCTGAAGAACAACAAATGAACCATATGGAAATGTCTGCTTTTCTCTGGACTTCGGAATCATAAAACATTGTCCACAGATCTGTTTCTGCTTAAGACTCGTGAGTGATATTGAGCTGTGTTGTCAGTAACATGAATGAAATGCTTAACGTTACTGTCCTGTCTATCTTCACAATTGGTAATCTTAATAATGTGGCCAATGAGTGCATATTAATGGCTAAAATTACTAAGATTTTGGTCATAGCCATGCACTGTCAGCAAAATAACACTCTTTGCCTAAATTTAACACAAACTGCATGCAAGTTTACCTATCAAGTTGTCACAAAAATAAGGTTGTACTTGGATTTCTTGTTGTCACTGAGAGTAAGAAAAAGTCATAAATAAAAGATGACACCTCATTTGCTCCTAAAAACTGCCTCAGACCTGTCCAGCCACATGCACCAGCCCACTGTCCACTGCAGCTGCCCCGGACCCGGTTTCACATATCTGATTACAGCACAGTGCACGCGCTCATGCAGCTTCAGTAGAGCAGGCTCTTTGGTGCTTCCCACGGAAAGTCCTTCCTCCCAAAGTGACCGTAACTGGCTGTTTTCTGGTAGATGGGCCTCTTCAAGTCCAGGTCCCTGATGCACAGTACCAAACACAAACAAATACTGTGTTAAAATCCTATATTTAATCTGTCATTGCTAAATCTCTTCAAGCCCCAGGTCTATGCTCTATCTGCATCTGAGATGACACTTGTTTTCTCCATCGGGCCACACTGGGATGTGGACGTATTGAAGAGGCCTGGACCGTGGTTACCTTATCATAGTTTGACCAAACACTTGAAATGTCTTTGCTAAATTGTGATAACACAGTGTGATCTTGCCTGGCCTGCCAAACGATATGCTTTTTAAAAGACATATAGTCTGGGAACGAGCTTGATCTCAGCGAATTCCCGGTGGGCGTGGTTGACAGACTGCATCAACCAATTAGATGCACACAGGATATGACGCAGCAACTAGCGGCACCCAAGCCAGTATGTGTTTCAGTAAACACAAAACAAGGGATGGCGGCATGTCAGCTAGTGCAAATGTAAACGACTGCTGTCGATTTTGTAACAAAAACTTAAAGATACGAGGAGTTATTAGCAACTCAAAGGTGAAAGGAAGTCCCGCCTCTCGGTGCGTGATTGGACCGATGTAGGTAAAATCGTGAAATGATAGGCTAGGAAGAGGTGTCCAGACGGTTCTTCTTTTGAACAGAAAGGAGGAGTGTCTGGCAGGCCAGGCAAAGTGTGATCTACTTCAGATAAATTCTGTATTAAAATCCATATTTGTTTGATAAATAGAAATAGTTGAAGAGAATGAGGCATTTAATCAATAATCCAGTGTTTTCTTAGTTTGTGGAACATCTACACGTCTGTGGCGAGGTTTATGATTGATCCGCTTTACTACATGGGAATATTTTTCATTTTTCATTGAATATGGGCTAGGGTGTTTTTTGGGCTCTTTTTCCTGAACAAAATGTGCTTAACATGGCTGGGTAATGTTTTTGATCAATTATTACAAATAAAAATTTTACTTTATTGGACAGAGTAAAATAAATGCAGTTGTGCAGCAGTGGCAGACATGAAGCAGGCTTCATTGTGGAGTGACTCTGCTGGGGCTCTTAGAAACATGAATCAGGCTGAATGTGATTTGGTCTGATCTACATCCTCGACTGAAACCCACGTGCAGAGCTTTGCTTGATATAATGTACTAGTGTTTCATTCCAAACTAGTTTGTGACTCACCTGACGATGACTCCAGGTCTCAGGTCAAAGTTTTTGTGCACAATCTGCAGCAGCTCCTTCTCAGTTTTCTGAGATGAACCGAAGGTGAACAGAGAGATGGACAGAGGGTGGGCCACTCCAATGGCATAGGCCACCTAATAAAGACATATTTAAATCATAATATCATTCACTTTTCAGATGTTTAAACAAGTGTTTCAGAGCATAATAACATCAGTATTACAATAATGATTGTAAAACAACATGCACAGATAGCTCGATGTACATTATTAATAAAGAATGACATTATTTACATATTAATGTTGTACCTGAACTAGGACCCTCCTGCAGAGATTGGCTTTGACCAGGGACTTAGCGACCCAGCGGGCAGCGTAAGCCGCAGACCGGTCCACTTTAGTGTAGTCCTTTCCAGAGAAGGCTCCTCCTCCGTGAGCGCCCCAGCCTCCATACGTGTCCACTATGATCTTCCTCCCCGTCACTCCTGCATCACCCTGCGTTACAGAACATGTGGTGGTTAAACTAAAGACTCATGTGACCCTCGCTGTGAAGGATCTAACCTCCAGCTTTAGTCTGTAAACACCGCCTAACTAGATATTAGTCTTGATAACTAGTCTTATCACTTTTAATCCTTAAAATCCTCTCACCTGTGGCCCACCGATGACGAAGCGGCCGCTGGGCTGCAGGTGGTAGATGGTGTCCTCGTCCAGGTATTTGGCCGGGACCACTTCTTTGATCACATTCTCCTTCAGGACCTCCTTCTGCTCCTCCAGACTCACATAGTCGTCATGTTGCACTGAGATCACAATAGTGTGGACTCTTTTGGGGATCACTGCCCCATCCTGCTGGGTGTAGTGGACCGTCACCTAAACAACAAATGATATTTATCCAATAATGTGTCAAGTCTCATAAAGATTTCAGATGTTACCTTCAGTATCAATATTATTAGAACATTAGTATATATTACTAGTATAAAATTAAAACCTGTGTTTTGGAGTCCGGTCGGAGCCAGGGCACGGTCCCATTGCGTCTCAGTTCCGCCATTTTAGCGTTTAGTTTGTGCGCCAGGACGATAGTGAGAGGCATGCACTCCTCTGTCTCGTCTGTGGCATACCCAAACATTAGGCCCTAGTTACATGAAAGGAAATACACAAATACATATGTTTGGTAGGACACAACATTCACAGATGTTTTCAAATATGTGATGAAAATGACCTGGTCTCCAGCTCCGATTTCGGTCTCTTGGCGGTCGATGTGAACTCCTTGTGCGATGTCAGGAGACTGCTGCTCCAGAGCCACCAGCACATTGCAGGTCTTATAATCAAAACCTGCAAAAGTATAAGGAATTATTAAAATACCCAAGAACTAGTAAACGAGACAAATGCAAACACACAGACCCTTTTCCGAATTGTCGTAGCCAATGTGTCTGATGGTGTCTCTCACAATCTTCTGGTAGTCAACATTGGCCCGAGACGTGATTTCCCCGCACAGCAGCACCATGCCTGTCTTACACACCGTCTCTGGGTTGAACAGAAGTGAACGTTAACAGATGGCAGACATCCCACGCCCTGTGTATAGATTCCTAAAAAGTACATTTAATAAAACAATTCAATATTTTGAGGTGGAACATTAAACTAACCACAGGCAACTTTTGCATCTGGATCTTGCTTGAGGTGAGCGTCCAACACCGCATCACTGATTTGGTCACAGATTTTATCTAGAACAAGAGAAGAGTGTTTTTGTTAATGTCAGTGTCAATTTGTGTCCTTCAGTTCTGTAAACAATGCAAGTTAGAACGGGGACTGCGATC